TTCCGTCGGCGATCGACGAACATTCATCAGCGAAAGTCAGACACAAGTATTAAATGCCATCATAGGTATATTGTTTTTTTTCTGTATAAAGAGGACTTTGCTTCTGTAAATTCACTGCCTACTTTCTAACGACAATAAAGATTGATTACTTTCAAGGCTCCCTGGTTCTCTCAGCATACGGCTTTTGTAGTTTATCATTTTAAAACATGAGAAATAATAAAGTTTTGTAAGCATTGACGTACACGATGATCCATGAGAGATATATAAGTTCACTCAAATATGAGACCTACTCGCTGACAGGAATAGACGTTTTCAACTGAGAGACACGATTAAAATGTTCTTTGTCAAATGCCAGCGTGCTTCTTTAATGAATATCCACGCCACTAAGACTTTTACAAAGTGAAGTCAACGTATTGTTCGCAATACTTTTTCGCATATGTGAGTTCTCGACAGATACTTGTGGCGCTTGTTTGTCATCATCTTTGTTTAATTTAGTCAGTTTTAGATTATCAATGCGGAGAATAGTCACGTTAATACTAGAATCTCTCCTTGTTATGTCTACTTTAAATTAATTATGAGTAAAAAATAGAATATGCAAAAAAATATTTTTTATAAAGTTGAATTTTTTTCCTTTTTATTGAGCATTTTTGCGGTTGTGTGAACTATTTTTATCTGCCTAGAAAGTATGGATGAAAATCGACAAAAAATCGCCTGTAGGTCGTTCAACTGCTTTTAGAATAATATATTAGGTGGATTTATATATCATATCTTTTTTTCAAAAGAGCAAATCCCTACTTGGTAACAGCAACCACACACCTTTCTAGACTAGGTTCACGGCTTCTGCCAGGGGAGTACACATGGGTATGCCAGTGCGGTCTAGACCAATTATTGATAAAGGGGCGTGTTTAAGTAAAGTTTGATGAGCCTTTAGATTGTAAACCCTACATAGAAAGCTATGTATCAAACTCATCCCCGAAATACAAATCATTAAAAGGTAAACTTAAATGCTCATGTAAATTTTGCTTCAATGGTTTAGTCACCCACCCTACAGACGGTAATTTCGAAAGCTGTTAGAAAACCTTCTAGTCCTTAACCTGCATAGGAAGTATAAGTGCTAATATAAATCACACACACACATCACACAGTGTTTGCGAGTGGAGTCTACCACCAATTGTTTTTCTACGCATACTTTTCGAAAGTGGAAATAGAGGCATATCATTTAAACCATTTTTTCAACTTACTTTTCTCCGGAGAATAGTTTACAACGTGTTATTTCAGCTACAGCTGTTTGGATTATTTTTGCATTTATTTCTCAAGTAAAGTTTTTTCTGCCTTTCTAGAGCTGTTAAACAGGGTTTGAGGAAACCTCTCTTGGTGTTGGGCCCATTTTCGAATGCTGCTCTTGCACCTACCCAAGGTTCCAGCCCGGTTAAGGTATTTCAGCACAAGTGGTTAAACAAACCGCATTCAGAACTGATTGCCTTAT